GAAACAACTCTCAGGTACCAGTGAGGCTGTGTACTGTCTGTGCTTGCAGGTCAGCCAGTTTCCACACCTGCTTACCTTTGTGGAATGTATTTTAGTGCCTTCTGTATATCTGGATTGGGAATGTGTAGAAGATGAGCTGGAAAGTGGGAAACTAGGAAGGCATTTAGGGCCAAGGGTGTGACACAAAAGAAGGAGGCGTCAGTGGGAATGTATAGGTGGGGAAAGGGCTTGGTGTGGGTGACTAAAGGCAAGTTAGAGATTCAAGGATCCAGCAAAGGACCACATCCAAGTCTCAGCAAGAGTAGTGGCAAAAGAACAAATATTCACTTCTAAACATCTTTACACATTTAATACATTTTATTAGAGAGGTAAAAATCCTGTAAACTAGCTACAATCTTGACTTTCTATTGCTATATACAGTACAATATATATGTTAACTCAAAATAATGTTTGCACGTTGCCAATGCTGGGACATCCTACAAACTACCAAGAGCAGAAGAAACATAAAGTGATGGCTAAAGTTCTGTATGAATGCAAGCAGAGTATCAAGTCCACGTTTCCTGCCTGGGAGCCTGTGAAATTTAAGAGAGCATTTTCTTTTTTATTGAACAGTCGCTCAGCTTCTATAATTCTCAGCTGTTTATGTAACCGTAAAGTAAAGATTACCAAGGACAATAACCCCAGAGGACTAAGCACAGCTACTACCCCATTTTAAAAATTAAGCCATGAAAAGTATGCTAAAATAATATCAGAGAGATTGTTTAAACCCATAAAAAGTAAATAAATTCCAAGCCAAGGCTGCAAATCCAGACTGATAGTCTCTCTTAACCCCAGGCCTAGCAAGGAAGGTGAGCAAGGCCAGTTCTCCCTCCATTTTCTGGGGCGCAAACCAGATTCATAATACTATCTTAATGCAGCTTTTGTGATTTCATTTCCTTTCAAATCTACTGCAGCCCAACTCTGTTTTGCTTTTAAAATAAATGTTTATGGCTACTCATTTTACCAAATGTTAACAACTTAAGGCCAGATCCCCTGTGCTCAAGTCAGGGAAGATGAGAGCAGCTCCAAGCTTTGCTTCCACTCCCTTAACCCTCAGCTCAAAAACCTGCCTTCAGTACATTGCTTTTGCATTGCTTAGCATTTGCTTTGGTACACTGCACTGCCATTTCTGCCTGTTTGCCTCCAGCCATGCCCTCAGCCCTTGCGTGAATGCTGCTGTGGATGATGTACAGCAAAAGCTCGTCTTTTTTTTTCTTTTTTTTTTTTAATTGCTGCAGCATTTCACAGAAGCAGGACCTCATCTATGTTTTCTTGAAACAGCAGCAGCTTCTGATGGCTCTGAACTACAAGAGGCATGTTTAAAGGAAAACATGAGGTTTGCCTATAGGCAAGATTCTCCAAGGTATATGTATACGATCAAAGACATAGCAAAGCTGGACAGGAGACTTTTTTTTCAACTTCAGGATTTTTTTTCTAAGAGTTCAAAATTATTCTTGACCCTAGCTGGCATCAGCTAATACTGTCAAAGCTTTTTGTGTAGAGAAACACCATGCACTTACCAGAGGAGGCAATAACACCCAAGGCGAGCATATACATGGCTTATAACAAAGTACATGATTCAGTCCAGGGCACTGAACTGTGGCTTTTCTTATCCAAGATGAGTTCCCTGAGCACCAACTCATTTTACTGTGTTTTTGCAAATGCCTCCAAGTCACATCTGGCCAACTCTGTATCAATAATTAAATACACACTGCTACAGTGACTGATGTATGGTTCTCTACCTTCTAGATGAATGCCTCAACTACGTCGCTATAGAATCAGTCTCCCCTGCTTTATTTGGCTTGGTGATTGTTTAATTATTTATACAAAGTGAAATGTCTTTAAAAGCCTGTGAGTATTTAATACCTTTAAAAGACTTTAAATGTCTGTAAGAGCTGCTGGTCAGCACCTTCCTTTGGGCTGGGCACAGTTCAAAGCCCTCTTCCTATCAACATTTAACTTCTTACAGAAGGTGGAGCATCTCCAAAAGGTTACTGTGTGATCTCTGTAGGAACTCTGCATTCCTATTTATACTTAGTCACTCTGTTCAGTGTTGTCCCACTTTCACACCAGCTTGGAATGATACCTAAATTTTAGGAAAAGTTTGCAAGCTCTTCACATGCAACTCATTTCTCCTCTCCATTTTTGGTACCAAGCAGCTGTTTTTTCTGCACCATGTCAGCTCTGAACTTAGCCTTAGTATGGGAAAAGTAGTTTCAATTTCCTTCTCTTAATGAAGTAAACATGAGGGAGGACTTTAAACTGGCTATCTCACTGCCTAGCAATTAAACTCCATGGGGATGAGGATTTCTCTTTGCAAGTTTGATGAGATCTGTCATTCTTATCCAGCTTTCAGTATATGTCCATTAGAACAGTGGATTTTAACCTGAGGCTAAGCACACTGTAGAAAGCATCTAGGAAAGCAAACACACCACTACACAGCAATTCATGTATAAAGGTCTGTAAACTTAAATTTCAGAACTAGTTCATACAGATCTTTAAGAAAGTAGAGTATACCTCATCCTTCAGTGAGAGCTTGTTCAATTAAAAGTACTTTACATACATGCAAACACAATGCTTCTTTTATAATTATATTTAAAAAGAGACAAACGAAAAAAGAAAAAAAATAAAGGACTGGCATGCCTGCAGAGTTTCAAACCCAAACAATTATAATTTTTGGATTTCCCTGTTAGATGTTGAAATCAGGAGTACTGTGTGGCAAGGCTGCCAAGATGTTATCACTGGGAAATTGACAGTAAAGTCTTAAAGCCTTTAATAGGAACACTGCAGTGCAGATTTTAAGCAAGCCAACCTTTCCATATTAGGAAGGCAAAATTATTAAGTTGCTACAGAAAGATAGATTTCAAAAAGTACCTAAGGATCATTCTCTCTTAAATACAGAAAATTATGAGAATAATTTCTAAAGGCCTCAGTTTGATTGTTACCTTTTTTTAAAAAGAAAATACCATGAAACTTTCCATGCAGGCATATAGAGTTGAAAATCATCTTCACCCTGTGATATCATAAATACTACTTTCTACCTTTATACTCATTTTGGACAACACTTAAATTCTAGAGAGCTTGAGGTTCGTCAGCTCTTTATGTGCAACTATCTTCTCCTCCTCATCTTGAGCACAAAGCAGTTGTGATTTCTGCCCCCTGTCAGATGTACACTTGGTGCTAATTTGGGAAAAGCAGTTCTCACATTTAGTGCTGAAAGACTGATAACCGAATCCACAAAGGAATGACACATTTTCAGCGATGAAGTACAGGGGCTGTGGACAATGGCTGTGCTTTCCCACTGCATAAATCCTCCTGACTCAGCTGTCATTGTGCAAATCTACTGCACAAAAGCAGATTTTGCTTGCATGATTGGAGTTTATGTCATCATGACTATCATAACAAAAGTGGGTGTTTTGTTGTCTTTAACACATTATTACTCTACCAGGTACCAAGACAGATGGATATGTCTATAACCTTTGTACTTTACTGTCTCTTGAAGTCCAGAAATCTCATCTATTATTATAACAAAATAACACAATGAGCAATATTTCTGGGTTACTGGACAAGCATGGACTGTAGAAATGACATGTGATAGACCTGATTCTGTTCTCACAGTAGTCCACATGAATTACAACGAAACTAAATTTAACTAGACAAACATCCGATTTATACAACTTGTCCTATTACAATACAGATTCATACAACTCCTCATACGCACATTTATCTGATGCATACAGTCAATGTACATGTCATATATATAATTGTTTATCCAACTTGCAATAGTACTTTTTGGTTTTAATAATGAGTCAGGGATTGGTTTTGTTACAGATTGTATATACAGCTAATATGATAACCAGTATCGTACTGGAAGTTCCTGACTGTAGCTAATAAGAAACTGTGTTGTTAAAACATAGTCTGCTCTTACATGCTAAAAATTTGTGTGAACAGTTTGCAGTAAATTGCAAAACCACATAAGGAAATCTGGACCTAAGCACAGACATAAATAATGTGCCTAAGAGTGAAAAGTATATAAGAGCAATATACTCTGTGAATTCAGAAACAGGAGTGCAGACACAAGCTGTGTGTACAGCAAAAGCAGCTAGTTAACTCTTATAAAATTAAAATATAAATTAACTCAGAGTAACCACAGTTAGTATTACTGGCTCACTTAAATCAAATGTCAGCTGTTTCAGATGATGAATTCACATTTCTAAAATGCTCATATCCTTGTATAGCTAGAGCCAAGTGTAATTTCCATTTAAGCTATTCAAATTTTTAGTTCAGTAGAACTTGGATAGAGTACTCAGATGCATTTTAAGTATTTTGGTGCACGAAGTCAAAACCAGATTTTCTCTAAAACTTTCCCTTTCTCTGCATACACACATATAAAAAACTACAGGCCTGATTAATAATATCCACACAATAAGGCAAACTCTTATGCCTTGTTAAACTATTAGATATTCTTAAACCAAACAGTTTGGAATGCCCAAGACCCCTTTCACTTTTTCCCAACTATTGACAACTCTGGCCTGCTCAGGAAGCTCTGCTGATTCACTGTTTGCTGGACAGTGGTGGTCAGTGTCAGATTCTCTTGAATCTAGGAAAAAATTGAAGCCTTTACAAGGCACAGTCCTGTCCAAGTGTGTTGACGTGTGGCTGATGCCTCCACAAACCTCAAGCTTCTGTCCAACTTGTGCTCGACAGCAATCTGCTCCTGTGGCACGACTGTGTTAGTTGCAGTGTATGTTTTAAATTTAATCACGCTCCACAAATCTCAATGTAATTAAACCAAAAATGCTTCTTTATAAATCACTTTCAATTAGTTTAACTGTTTTAAGACAAAATTCTGTTCCAAATAAAAGAAGGGGATATATGTCACAGATGTTGCTGGAATTAAGCTGTGTACTAGACTTTAATGGCTAGATGAACATAACTGGATAAATGTACATTTTACATACCATTTAGCCACCGAGAGTCATGCTGCTCTGTTCTGATTGGATGATGATGCCCCAGAGTTCGAAAAATGGCAAAGTCCCTGCCCATGAAGTCTGCTGCTGTGCCAGAATACAGTTCTCCATCTGTGGGAGGACATAATTGTAAGGAACATTTCTCAATTTTCCAGTCATGGTAAGTCATAGAAAGCTGTCAGTCCTATGTTTATATTACACTAATAGGGATAATGAGAAAATTACAAAGCAGTAAGCCACATGCAATGTATTGTCATTGAAAATATGTAATTAGACCCATTTTCTCACTTCAGAATTTAACTGTAACCTCTGGCAAATGAGTTGTATCTCCTGACTGCCAGTGCAGCCACTTTTCAAAAACATATTTGGACTCTAAGGCTGGAACATTGACAACTTATACACCTCTCCCTGGCAGGCAGTAGTATGCAATCCCCAAAAACCTACCTAGCTGTGAAGTTACCCTGTTTCAGAGAGGAGTTTGGACTGGAGACCTCCAGAGGTTCCTCTCAACCTACTGGGGGTTTGTGATTCCATGTTTGGAACTGGAGAATCTAGTTCATTCATTCTTGATTCAGAAAGTCCTCAAGCCCTTTCAGTTTTTCGTACAGAAACTGTCTTTGGTGTTTGTTTTTTTTTTTGTTGTGGGTTTGCAGCTTCTTTTTTTCTTTTTTTTTCTTTTTTTCTTTTTTTTTCCCCTGAGCAAGCAGATCGTCAAAAATGTCATATTCTACAGGAAAGACAGAACATGCCTCTCTCCTTCAGCCACCTTTGCAAGCGTGATACTGGCAAAGGGCAACAGCTAAGGGAGAGAATAAATGAGATCATTCTCTGCTACCTTGACCCTATGCACATCACGGTGAACAAGAGAAAAATTGACCTGAGATACTCATTCTAAAAATGGAACATACATAGCCTGGCTGGGGATGAGACTAGTAACACTGAAGTGTCCCTTCTCAGCCAGCTAAAAGTACCATGGAAGAGACAGAGAGAGAGACAGTCTACATTCAAAGAAGCAGGTCAAGATAAATACCTGCCAACTGCTAGAGAGAATAATACTAACAAGTACATATTAACCAGACCCACTGAAAACAACTAGGGATCAAAGAAGAACACATATCTTTCTGGCATTAATGTAGAGTTTGTCCATAAAATTACTCTGGATTCAAAATGCTAAAAATACATTTTTTTAGGAGTGTGCCCTTTTACACCTATATGTGAAATGAGATACCCTTTTCTATACCTTTAATATGGAATTAAAAAGTAGTTTTTCGAACTACTATTTTCAAGCTTCCCATCTTAAAAGGATCTCTGGTGAAAAGGACAAGTTTGAGGACAAAAGAACTCTTTCTTTAAGCTAAGGTAATAAATTTTTCATGGTTGTGATGAACTCTACAATATCCTCACTTTAAAATACCCTTTAGGAACAAGTTTATCATTTTCATGGCAATTTTAGGCATTTCCATGGTGGGACAACCAGATTCAAGCATGCCCATTAGATATCACTGGCAATTTTTCCCTAGAACACTGACACCATGAAATTATCAGTTGAACGTACAGTGGCTCTGTACCATATGGTAGTCATGCAAGTCAGGAAGGGTGAAAACATGATAGTGGAAAAGCGCGGAATTGAATGAATTCACAGCAGAGATTAGAAGCAAATAGACCCGTCGTGCCCCGCAGGAGGTGTAATCAGAAGTGAAACAGAACAGCATATCATTAATTAACGGTTTATCATTCCTCTATGTCATTTTCAACTTTTTTTTTTAAGGGGAGACAATCACTTAATTATAGTGATTACTATGTACAAGCTATGCAGCTGAGATTTGAAAGCACATAAAACCGTTCTGCTTGTGAAAAGGGCTTTGATGCTGTGCTTAACCTTTCTTTAACCTTATCTTCATTTTCTTGTCTTTCAGTCCCTAGTGATTTCTGACAAATCAATATTAACTCAAAGGGGGAAAGAAAAAAACAAGACCTGTTTTGCTTCCTAGCTACCAATAAATCTAAAGATCAATCGAGAGAGAAAAAAAATCCATATTTAATACTACCTTGTTAAAATTAAATTCAGCTCAGAAACTCCTGAAAACTATATATTTGCAACATTTAGAACTGTAAGGGGTTTTGACACCTCAGCTTCTAAGTCATTATTTAAACACCACTGAAAGTAATGTATCTGCTAGACTTATTCATGCTACTTGTGGCTCTCGTGGTTGGTGCTTTTTAATCAATGGTAATAAAAGTTTTGCCAATAATGGACTTTAGCATGTTCCAAAGGGGGAAAGGTCTGTAGGTAACTAGTTGAACTTTCTTTGCTTTCTACTACAGCCCCTCCAAGTTTAAGCACACGTAGCACAGTGCCTGCCGTTTGTACTGATTTGCTGTAGTCATGCAAAAAGGGGATTTTGACTTCTTCCAGACAGAAATACCACAGAATACCATTTATTTTTCTAAGGCTTCAGATAATTTTTGCTAAATTCAGGGTGAGCCTCAAGTCATGTCCCAGATGCGCACATGCTTCGAGTTAGTGCTATTGAAAAGCTATGTGAGGATTTTGCCTCCTATCTAGATACAAGCACATTCCTCCTTGTTTTTCTATGCAGTTCTTCTTTTGGACTGAAATTTATTCAATGCTGGTCTAGAAAATTATTCTCTAACATCATGCATAGTCTTCACTGTGCCATTTCCATTGTCAATAGTTTTAAAAACAGTTTTCATTAGGAAGACAGTGGAAATGAAGAGTTTGAACTCTGAAAAACATTTCTCAAGGGGAAAAAATGAAGGATAAAACAAAAAGTTACTTTGTGTTTCCAGCCCACCAGCATAAAGCAATCATTGTCCAGAACAAGCTGATGGCCCTCAGTTGGTTGCATAGGAAAAGGCTTTATGTTTTGGACACAAACCACTTTATCCTATAGGAGTGGCATATTGACTTATGAATGAGCACAGAAAAACATATATTGCCTTTATTAAATAAAGAGGCAACAGGTAAGGCCCATAGTAATGCTTTTCGGGGGGAGAAATCATTTTCCAACATACTGTATGTAAGCAGCACGGAATTGTGAACACCTCCCCAGGTTCACTAGATACAAAGATGCTAAAAACTAAGCAGTTTACATTTATTTCATGAGTTGTTTCTATTCAGCTTTTATAGAACGTTGCATTCTTAAAAATGTTTTTGGAAGAAGCGTAAGCTTCTTTTTTTGAAAGAAATAAGAGAATTGAATGGATGGAGAATATAGGTGAAAACAAACCTTGAATGTCCTGATTGCTCTCTACTGGTAAAAGGGTTCCCAAAAGAAATCTTCTATCCTTGGTTAGTAGGTTTATTCACTGAAGTTAAGATTTTCATAGTAGTGGTTTGTCTTCCCTCCTTTTGATTTCCCTCCTTTTAAAAGTAACAGCTAAAACTTCCTAGAAAGCAGAACAACTCAAAAATCCTGAACCTTATATGTACTTAGTAGCTATTTTCTAACCAAACAACAGTAAAGTTCCTTGATACGAAGTGTGTTTCAGAACATACTGATACATGTGGAAATATTAAGGCACCTAAATTGAATTAACAAAAATAAATTGTAAATAAAAAAGATACAGGAACATATATAGTTTTGAGGATTCTGGATCATCAGCACTTTTGAAAATCCCAGAGGGTCATTTCCTAAAGAACAACTGATGATAATGAGACAACGTTGCCTTCTCTGATTTCTTTTTTTTTTTTTTTTTCACCTATCCCAATACAATTGCTTTAGACTAGTACATTCAGTGATATTTTTCCTGTGATTACATTCTTTGGAAATCATGCTGCCTCTCATTTTCCTGCTGCCCTGGAATCCACACTAGTGGTGCTCAGGGACTGCTTAGTCTCTACATTTTCATGCATTAGCCCACTCAAATGGAGACTGTTAAGAGCACATAGATGGGAATGGCTCAATAATCTCTTACAGTACTAGGAACAAGTTATATCATATTTCCAGCTGGCATTTACTTTAAAGTAGAGTATCAATAGCTAAATTAAATGAACAATTCTAAAAAAAAAGTATGAAAAATATTTGCAGGTGGATGGAACAAGGAATATATACTGGAAAAATATGGAAGAATTTAATAATTATGAACTGTTTAGTTTTGGTTTGGTTTATTTTCAAATATTTTCTTCTTTTAAATTTTATTTTAGGAAAATTGAAGATCCTGTTTACACATATAAGAGTTTATTTCAGCTGAAATGTAAAATTGGAATCCTGAGCGTTAATGGCTATTAAAGATCTTAAGATTCTTTTTACAAATTAACATTGATGGTTTTGCTTGAATACCTTCAAATTATGGAGTCAAGAACATACTCTTCTTCCACAGTTTGCAAAATCTCTGTTTAGTGTGGCTGATGAAGAACAGGGCTGTTTTTCCCTCCTGTATTTAACCATATACTTCTCAGCCTTCTTTTATCGTCCTGATAGTTACATGGTGTTACTAATTATAACACTGCATTTTAATGAGTGCTGGGTAATTGTTTTACATAGTTGCCCTCTTGAACCTAAGTTGCTTGTGAGGACAAACACTTCTGGCACACAAGGGGCCAGGAGTAGCTGAGCTATCATTCAGTTGAGGAGAAGCGAAGAAGCCATCCATCCACGTTCTTCCTGATGTGAGACATGTGTGGTGAAGAGGTTCTCATGGCCCTACTCACTGCTTCACCCCACTGCTCCATACTTCAGAGAGCAGCTGCACCAAACCTCTTCATGCAGTCATTGCTTGGCCAGTTCATTCCCAGTTCCTTACCTCTTTTGGTGGAAGAAAATTATTTTGCCTTGGGTCATCTTTTCACCATAAAAATTTATGGGTTTTTTGGGCAAAGATAAGAATAAGTCTCTGGGAACTAGTGGTGAATTCGGTGTACACTTTCTTAAAAATCAGAGGAACCTCCACAGCAAAATATTTTCATTATAATCATTATAATCAGTAACCCAATATGCCTGTGAGGCAGCTATAAGGAGGCAGAGAAGAAAGGGTGTTCATGCTCAGGATGCAGGAATGTTAATTTTAGCTTCACTCTGAGTTTTGTATAAGTCGCTCAAGTAGAAATTAGTC